TCCAGGGGATTATCCAGCGGGCTCAATGTCTTGGATCATCCCGAATGAAGGAACTCCAGAGATGGCAAACTAGCAATGGCCCAAGCCTCGCAACTTGCGTCGAGCGCGTGATGGCTATCGGTATCTCGAAGGATCATATCGTACTCCTAAGCCGACAAGGATACTTCACTCGAATGTCTTTCGCCATGTCCACACCGAATTTTGATGTCGTCTTGGAGCCAGCTCAGCGACTACGTCCAGTTGAGCTGTTTACACATCCATATATAGTTGAACTTGTGGGTGCTGGCTTCGACAAGCCGGCTAATACTGCGTACTACACTCTGCGCTTTCCGCGAGTCTTGAAGATCCACGACGATCGGTCGTTCGGAGATACGATTAGCTTCAAAGACCTGCAGGAGATGGCCCAAATCTGCTTAGCGATGCCCGACAAGGCGCAGAGAGAAGAAAAACATTGGCGTGAAAGGTTATGTGGCCGGCAGCAAATTGACGAAGAATGAAGCATTCTTCTAGCACAATACTTTATTGAGAGATAGGACAGCCGGAGAGTAGAGCGGCTACATTGGTGGCATCTAGGTCGCGCTCCGGGCGTCGAACTGCTCACCGTTCGGGAGGCGCCAGGCCCTTCCTGCTCCAGTGCATGCTCGTGAACTTTGATCACATTGCTTTATCCGGGGCCACGAACCACTGCATAGACATTATCGCCTCGGGGACCTTCCAGAAGAGGAGAGCATGTAACACGAGAAGAGACGACGTCGAAGCCAGGTATTTGACCGAACACGGCCTACGGGATGATAGCACCGGAGAGAGGAATGGTTGGCATGGGGGACTACGTGGAGTATGTGACAGCAAAGGGCAAGAGGGATATGTTGGCCCGGTTCTCGGTCACGCTGAGGCCGCGTGAGGATGTGAACCCGTACATGGCCGAGCTGGAGGCAATGGCATGTGCATTTCGATATGTGCCAAGGAAGCTGCCGCGCAGGAACGTGGTCAGCAGCAGCAGGGCAGCCGTTCAAGTGGTGGGACAACCTCGACAGCAATCCGGACTACGGGCAGTCCAGGACGTGTACAGACAGGCGAGGCTGCCGCATTTGCAAGACGTGCCGATGTCCGTTCTGTGGGTGCCGGTAGGGCATGAGGGCCTCCGGCCGTGTGCGGCGGCCAAGGCAGCGGCCCGCGAGGCTACGGAGGACGGGTGCGTTCGGGAAAAAGCAAGCTATCAAGCACGATCTACGAGAACCAGGCTGCTGCTCGGCCAACAGCAATGAGTTAGAAGCCTGGTCTTGCACGTCAATGATGTCCACACATTAGCGAACGGATGAGTCAAACCTCTTGCGAGATTCCCTCTCAATGAATTGTTGCCACTTTGATGTACTCGTTTCGTCGTTGTCTGAAGAGGCGGGGCTCGAGTCATCGGAATCACGAGGTTCGGAGTCATGCATGTGCTTGCGAAGGTACTGGAAGCAATCAGATACAGCTTCGCACTTGGTATGCACTCGGTAGACTTACCTCTGTAGCAGTAGATCCAGCGATTTTGTGCAAGGAGCCTAGGCTGGTTCCAGCCTGTGTGATGAGCCAGAAACCGGATGGTGATAAGGCATTCCCATATCAAATACAACCGTCGGTTGGAGAGATCACTGTGTGCGTCATGGGGGCATTGTTGCTAACAAGCACCACTCGATGCAAACACTTGTGTTGTCCGCCTGCAATTATGTTTCTCTCAATCTCTCTCTCCACGACTGAGGACGGATCACAAGTTGACCATGTCCGCTCCGGGTTCAACTACACCCCCAATTACAAATACACACCATATCATAGCCGCCGCCAACAGAGCGCCCACAAGGGGCGTGATGCTGTTCCTCAAGTCTCTGCTTCTCTGCTATATTGGCCCCCATTTTCCAGCCCTGCCATTATATTCGCAATCTTGGACAGCGGAGACCTAGCAGGCTGACCCGCAAGGCCATCCTGCGGGAGACAGACGGGACCGTCCATCATGATGCCCGATTTAGGACATGGCAACGCCAAAGGCGACGAGGCCAGCGGCGAGGGAGACGGTGATGAGGGTCGAGTCGGCGGCCTTGTTGCCGGCGCTCTTCTTGGTGGTGGTGGCGGACGCGCTGGCTGAGGTGCCGCTCGCCTTGCCACTGCCAGTAGCGGACGCGCCGGTCGTGGTCGCGGCCTTGCCGCCGGTGGCCGTGCTGCCGACCGACGTGGAGCGGGCGCTGCTGCTGCTGGCGGTGGTGCTCTGCTGCGCGGCAGCGAGGCCGAGGAGCATGAGCACCACGGCGAGGAAGTTGTAGAACTTGGGGGCCATCATCTTGGGTGGTTTGGAGTTCTTCGTGTCGAACGGGCGAGCTCGGGAGGCTGTAAACGCGTCAGTTTCGTGATTGCACGTATTGTCTTCATCGTTGATTGTCGCCTTACATGGGATTAGCTGTTGGATTCTTGGAAGGAGAGTAGTCTTGATAGTGTCTTCTGCTGAAGGATAGGACCAATTCGTCAACACGGGACTGGCATCGGCGTTACATATCGGAGCATCGTCCCCTGACTGCGGCTCATGACCATTGCGCCTCAATTACTTTCTTTACCGGGAAACAGCAAGTTTCAGTACGGTGCAAGCCGTACGGTGCAAGCCATACGGCGCCGTTCACTTCGGCCAGGGCCCGAAGCGAGGACACAGCCTTGGCCGCAGCGGCCCCCCCATTCCAAGGCGCAAGGAGGACAGTCATCAAAAGATCGTAGCCTCGTACGATGATGCCGTCGCGTCCGTGTTGATAGTCGTTAAGATTTTCACCTTTATGGACAGCGCGACGCATGCCACACGTATCCAGTATCATGCAGGGCCGGGCGTAGGGGGGCATTGACGTATCTGCGTCTCAGCGCAGCCGGTTTTCCCGGCTCACAAGTCACAAGCCGCACCTGTCCGTACGAACCTGATTCATTGAAACAAGCCCTGTTGCAGTCCGTACGGCACGCGCATCCTCCGCTACGATTCTTGCTTTGCTTGACTCTTGCGCCTAATGAGCTGACCTACCCAGAAACCCCCCCAACGGCCGGCCATCGTCCGAGGCCCCCGGAATTCCGCGGGTGAGGCTGAGCAGTGCCGCCGGGGTGCCTCGTGGGGCCGGGCCGAGAATGTTTCAGGAAGCCGGGCGAAGGGCGCGAGACAGTGGGATTCAATATTGCTGCGTTGTCGATCGTTGGGTTTGCTGCGCAAAAACGAAGCTTGTTGCTTCCGAGTGTAGCGATGAAGCGGAGCTGCTGCGGATTCGTTTTTCTGGGGCCGTCGCCGTGCTGCTGCGAGTGTGAGTGAGGTTGAAGCTGTGCCTTTTCGCAGCCCAGCGATATAGTACATATCTGACTGCATGGCCCATCTCGTACTTTTGCAACGGCGATCCTGGTTCGTTGTTTTCCTCGATAAATAGAGATTGACTTTGCACAGCCCCGTGTCATGTCCTTTAGGTTGCATGCATGCGGCATGGCCCTCGTTCGCCGCTTCGGGGGACCCGAACTGGCAGACAGGAGGGCACGCGCCAGCCCCTTTTCGCACTTTTCGTCCAACTGCGAGGGCTTACGCTGACCATCGGAATAATGGCTTCAGGACGCCAGTTAGAATAGATGTTCGACAAGTTGAATCGACATGCCCGAGCCCAAGCGGGAGCGCTGCACGCCTCTCACGCTGGACATCGGCTTCATCACCGCCACGCCCTGCACCACCAGCGAACCTATTCAAGACGCCTATTCCTGTAACGAACGGCATTTATCCAGTTGCAAACAAAAATGCAGCAGAATGCTATAACAATAAGCGAGACGGCAATAAGGGGCCCCAGAACAGAAAACACCGTGAAGCCGTACGATGCAGCTTGAAGGCATCATTGCTGGCAAGTGACTCTGTTGCGAGCCCGACCTGCATTGCGCTCCAGATGTAGCAATTGCGCCTTACAACAGCACTTTGACCGTCGTTGCCACGCTCGGCACGCCATTCTCATTCAAGACAAACAGCATCCAGTACCCCGGCAGAAGCGCCCCCGGATCGCCAGGCAGGCTCGCCGTGTAAGAGTTCCCTCCGTTAAACTTCAATGCCAACGGCACTCTCCGCTGTCTGTTTGACCGTGTGTGTCGAGCTCCCGTACCGTATCAGCGGCGCATCCCTCACTGGCCCCTCCGTCGTCACCGTGATGGTATTCCCCACGCCCACCTCCTTGCTCGACACGCTCCGAATCACAGGCCGCGTCGCTGGGTCCCCCTTTCCGTCGAACAGGTACCGTGGCGAGAAGATCAGCGTGTCAAAGTGGTTCGTATCGCAAGTCCCACACAGGCAGGCCCCCCCCACTCAGCACTGTTGCGTCCGGCAGCAGCCCCGCAATGCTGTGGTACACACGCACGGTCTAGTTGGGTGCCTGCTCGACGAACGTGTTTTGCGCGGGGTCGTACAGCTCTGGAGTAAGCTGGGGAGTTGAGTCCGAGAAGGGAACCCCGTGTTGTTGCCCGCCCGTGACGAAGACGGTACTATCAGGCAGCGCGACGGCGTTAGTGTATGGGAATGCCTTGAGGAACGAAGTGAGGAACGAACGAAGAGACGGAAAAGCGTGAGAAAGCGAATTTGGACATCTCTGGCAACCAAGCTCGGCAGCAGGAAATTGAGGAACGCCAACGACTACTACCGCGCATCACCGTGTCCAGGGTTTTCTGCAAATTCTTCAGTCGCACCTATTCCCCGACCTCATATTCACGAGGCCGCCTGCGACTGACTGAATGTCCTGCGCTTGGCGGCCTCCCCATTGGCCTTCTCAGCGCCGGTGGCGGCGCCCGACACGGCCTTGTCCTTGACCCCGTTGGCCCTGTCCTTGGCATCCTTTGCCGCCTTTTGAGTGGCGGGCGAAGCGCTACGCAGGCCGACCAGGCCAACCAGGACAGCAATCAGGGCCACAATAACGGTAGCGATACCACCAGCAGCGTCAAAGACTAGCTTGATGGCCTCGATGGGGTCATTCTTGACGATGGTGAGTAAGAGGTCGAGCTTCTCCTCAATATAGTTTACGGGGTCGTCGCTAAACTTGAGGTCCGAAGGAGACTTGGGCGTGTCCTCAGACTTGGGCTTGTCAGCGTCGGCGAGGGCCTTCTCGACGGGGTGCTTGAGCTTGAAAGTCTCCTCAGCCAGCTTCTCGGCATCGGCAATCGAGTGGCCAACGTAGATGTTGTCGAAGAGGATGTCATTCTGCATGGTCCAGATCTCAAAGCCAATCTGCCAAGTAATACACGTTAGAGGTTGCCAGAGAAGCGCAGCGTTTTAGGGTTGACTCACAGCGCCCATAGCCTCGAAGTTGGCGGGGTGCTTGTCTTCGTAGAACTCGGGGTTCTTGATCTTGCGGGGAGCCCAGGGACCATTGTAGGCCGGGTTGTCGATGTAGGGAGCATTCCACTTGCCCTTGTAGACGGGGTTGTTCTTCATGGGTTTGGTCCAGCGGCCACAGCCAGAGACGTCTGCGCACTTGGGGTTGGGAACCGTAGGCGCGATCCAGTCGCCGTCCTCCACGTCATCCCAGTCCTCGGGCTTCTTAGCCTCGGGGTCAGGGACCGTACTGGCCTCGTCAACCAGCCAGTCCTCGGGCATGGTAGCCTCCTCATCGACAATCTCGAACGGAGCGTCTTCATCCCAGTCCTCGGGCTTCTTGGCCTCGGGGTCAGGAATGCGGGCCTGATCAACCCAATCCTCCGGCTTGGTGTCCTTGGGGTCGTCGATCTCGGCGGGGGGGTTGAGTGAGGGCGTGAAGTCCTCGAAGAGGGAACCAGTCTTTATTTCCTCGCCATTCTGTCGCAGAGCGTAGGTGTTGTTGGGGTGGACAATCAGCGTGTAGAGCTCGGTGGTTTTGGTGATGCGAGCTGCGGGTGGAGCCGACAGGTGCTTCTCTTCGTACTTGCGCGTCTTGGGGTTCTTGTGGTTGAAGATGAAGTGGACTTTATTCGTGTGGCCGCACTTGTCAGGGCCGAACATGATGACGTAGGGGGTCGTGTTGCTAAACTCCTCCTGGTGTACGGCCTTGTTGTCGCGGAGTAGCTTCATGTAGGCACCACCGCACTCGAGGCCCTCTGGACGCGAACTGTGTTAGCAAGAAACGGGCATGTCGAGCGGCTACTGAGCCTACGGGGTTGGCTTACTCTGAAGTTTGACCTCGTACTGGACGACAAGAGTCTTGCCCTTATTGTCAATCTTCTTGGGGAACTTGGCCGCGATGGCGTGGTGGGCAGCTGGGTTCTTGACGACGAGACCGTTGTCGCCCTCCATGCCCCTGTATTGGTAGGGCTCTTCGACGGCCCACTCGCCAACGTACGCCCACTCCTCTGTGTCCTTGTCGGAGCCGGTCATGTCCTTCTTGGCGTGTGAGGGCTTCCATCGCTTGTCCCAGCCCTCGGTGAACTGCTCCAAAAAGGGGGCTTTGAGGGTGGTAGGCTGCAGTCCATACCAGTAAGCCGGGTTCTGGGCATATCGCGCAAGCGCGTCAACTGCTCGGGAAACTTACGGTGAAGGTAGGCAGAGGGGGCACGGAGGCCAAGGACGAGGGCAAGGTCGCCTCGTCGGCCTGGCCGGTGCCGGCGAGAAGGGCGGCAGAGAACCCAGCGGAAACGGACTTGAACTTCATTGTGAGGATCGGGCACAGCGCAACGTGCTCAGACAAATGAGAGTCGGCGGAAGGAACGGGGATGGTTGAGGCGACTTGTCTCGGCACCAAAAGGGGATGATGTAAATCTACGGGCACGATTGAGATTGCAGAGGGAAGAGTTGTTGCGGTCGTTGCGAGCGAGGTGAACCCTAACATCGTGGCAGGAGTTCCACCTTGAGGACACGTAGTTGGGAAATTCGCAGCGGGGAGCAGGCCGTGTGGAATTCAGGGTCCCAAAGGATTTGTTACATCCCCGGTGTACCGCAGCCGAATGTGGCTCCTCTGCGGGGATGGCGGCTGGGAGGCACTAATGGCGCGGGGCTGCGAGATTCCCGTTGGGGGCTCGAGAGTGCCGTGCGAGAGAGCCCCGGAGTCTCTGGTCGGGTCTTGGTGGCACTCGAGTGTGAGCTTCCACTGGGGAACTCGGCACAGCAGGTCTCGGAAACCGGCTGTGGTGGTGGGGTTCCCAGCTCAGTGCCACCAGCGTGCAACGCCGTGGCAGTACAGCCAGGATGATGGAAGGGTAGAGAAGCAAGAGCGCACCCAGCAATGCCGGAGCTCTCAATTGATGAGATGCCGTCTCGCAGAGTGCAAGCTTGCTGCCGATGGCAAGCAGATTGGACGAAGGGCGACGAGACGGTGGAATTGACTCGTCAATTGAAAGGCAGCCGTTGCTGCTGCGAACCAGCGCCACTCTTGGGTGGCTGATTCGAATCGCGAGATGTCACGTTGCCTGTGCTGGTTTCTCCCCGGCGAGTGAAGCTAGCGGGGCTCGGCGCCATCCCGTTTAGGCGCCCACGTGGCTCGCCGTTTACTTCCTACCTCTGGCGATTCGAACGCCACACCTTATAAGATACGTTATACAAACGAGCGCATTGACGTGTCATGACTCAATCCCAGAGTGATTCGCAAAAAAAGACATGAGACCACACTGGCGACAGCTCAACGCTTCGCTGCAACGGCGAGACGACGGCAGACACCAACGTCAGTTCTCACAAAGTGCGACGTTGCCAACCTAGGTCGCTCACGGCAGTCGCCCATCTCCAAGGCTCTCTGCGGTGATAGTGACGTCTTCCAACCCTGCCCCTGCGCATCGACTGTCGTCGGTAGGTAGGATACGGTGTGGCATCCTAGTGCTGGTCATAGCGTCACGTGCGACCCCTGCGATTCGGGCTCGGAGGGCGCACATAAGCCTTGGCTTTGCGGAGAAATCATCGCCGACGCCATCGGTTGCGCACACGACATAAATCACAGTGAGATCGAAGGGACGTTTGTCTTTATCGTGGATGAGCCGGAAATTGAATCCGCGGTTACAATAATTAACAGGCGGGGTTTCGAAGCCCGCGTTTGGTCCTGGGAAGAATACCTTGAGAGCGGTAACGTACAGCACAACAAATTAACGTTAGGTGTAACCATTCGTGACTGATATTTTCGCTACAATTATGAGTCCATGAACGCTGAAAAAAAAAAAAAAAAAGCGGGTTCCAATTTGATTTGATTTGGATAGCAAAATCACGGATCTTTTTCTTCTTTTTTTTTTTTAAATAAAAAAAAAAAAAAAAAAAAGCCAATCGATCTTGTACCTGTTGTCCAGCCAACAGTCAATCGAGCCCTGTATACAATACAGACCTAGATCGCTCTCCTGACTATAAGAATCGTGTTCGATTTGCTCATGCGTCGCAGCGATGCCAAGCCACCAGATGTTTAAGGTCCTCGACAGGCGTGCTGGCGGGGTGGCATACGGCGCACTAAACAGGCACTTGTCACCCGCTGAAGCTCACGGGCCACAACCCAAGGCACACGAAGTGACTTGGACCCATGCAACGTTTTCCCTTCCACGCAACATTTCCCCTTCCACGCAACGCTTTCCCTTCCACGCAACATTTTCCCTTCCGCGCAACGCTCCCCCTTCCACGCAACGCTTTCCCTTCCGCGCAACGCTCCCCCTTCCGCGCAACGCTCCCCCTTCCGCGCAACGCTCCCCCTTCCGCGCAACGCTCCCCCTTCCACGCAACATTTTCCCTTCCGCGCAACGCTCCCCCTTCCGCGTCACGCCCACGCAACGCTCATTCAAGCCCACGTAATCTCAAGCCCCTCGCGCGACCAGCGACGCCGTCCAGGACTTGCGAGTCTCCTCCTGACCAAGGATACGAGATCGGAGCTTGCTATCATGGAACCCGTGCATTTGTGGGCAACTCTACACAGCAAGTGGCCAGAAGTCATCGGAAGAAGGCACACGTTCGTTGCTGCGAAACTATCTTCGTTGGCGAGGCGTGGCTGAAACACCACAACACAACAGGCCATAATGGTGAAAAAGTGAGCACGTGGACAAAGAGACAGGCTCGTTATCGTGAGAAGGTGGAGTGTGAGCTCGGGTGCGGGTTGGCTCTCCAACGTGACAGGATGAAAAGACATCATAAATCAGAGCACTATAGATGCACCGAGTGCGATCGAATATTCATCTCCACCGGCAAGAAAGAGCACGAGCACAGCACTAAGTACGTTTCTTACATGCTGGTTCCTTCACTTGACCGGGAGCACGCAGGTGCTGCGGCGGCGGCATCGACACAGAGGACATACGAGCCCAGAATGCCTCGCGAGAGCATTGAGACGGTCCAAATGCGCACCAAGTATGTTTCCATGATTCAAGATTTGCTTGGAGAATGCCGGAACTCGAAAAATTCTCAACTCGGCCATACAAGGTGGGATGATAGCTTGACACTCCTAAACCGGATCTTCCCTTCTGATCGCGACATACCGATCGCGCGAATCGGGCCCATATCAACAATGGCGGACGACGCAGACGTTTGGTACACTACAGAAGACGACATAGAGAGAATCATGGCCCAAAACTTCATCTTGCACAAACCCACGGTGGTGAGATCACGTCAATTAGGACAACGAGGCCAGGGACTGGATCACTTCTTAGAGGCTCTGAACGATCATTTTGGCGATAGCAAGGTGGACGTACAAGACCCAAGTACTAAAAAGAAAGCCGCCGTCTCCTCACCTGTCTGCGACGTTATTGACCGAATCAGAGAAGGGGCGGACATTCCGGCAGGGCGACTTCCGATAAACCTGCTGAACTTGAAGTATCTGGGACAAGTCCCACCGGCTCCTGCATTCCTCAATCTGCGTCGGTTCGATGTCCTTCCGGCAATCAGCTCACGTCTAGAGGCGGAGTTTACCGGACGAGCGATCGCCGGCAAACGGGGCCACGCCGTGATGGTCGAGGCCAGAGAAGTCGACCTGGACCGCTCCTTGACCTTTTCGCTATTCGCCCAGCGAGGTGCTTTTACCGGATTCCACGTCGATAGCCCAGATGCAACATGGGTATGTCTTGAGTGGGGCCTGAAGCTTTGGATTTTCGCTACAGACACGAACGAATCCGAGATGGTCAAGTTCACAGATGAAGGCGACAATTGGGTTCCCGATAGCGTTGTCGCTATTGTGTTGGAGCCGGGTGATACGCTCATCATGCCCTCCGCACAGCTCCTTCCTCACGCTGTATTCACGTTGGCAGACTCACGGATGACGGGTGGTATGTTCATGGACGCAGTTCGCATTCTAGAGTCGATTGAGAAGCTCCTGTGGATATATATACGCCCGTCTGTCTCGAATGAACCGATACCGTTGCAGCTCCTCAGAGGATGGAGCCACCTGTGCAAGCTTTTTTTATGACAGAAACCAGTCTACAACTGACCGGGCCAGGTTCGAAAAGATCACGGGGCTACTGCGCGAGAACTTGAGCTGTCAATGTACGGGCACTTGCGGGAAGTCATGTTTGACTTGCAGATGCTCGTCGTCAGTGGCGCAGGACCAAAGATGCACCCCTTGGTGCCATGCCGCATCCACAAGGAAATAACGCAGAGCCTCCAAACGCACAGGCGCAGTATCCGGCTGAGTCCGGCGTTGTGCTGATGCATAAGGGAGTTCGATTTCCCTCGAGCCGTCAATGCGCCATGTCACTGCCTAGCGGCCGGGTCAACGGTACTCAGGGAGCTGCAAGGGCTCGGCTAAGGCGACCATTAGGGGATCCTTGTCGCAAAATAGCAAACACCAGATACGACTGGCCCAGGTCAAAGAGACTCCTTGCAGACACGAATCGTTAATCTCATCTTAATAAAGAGACGAGCAAGAAATACTTTCGTGCATAGTCCAGGGATTCAGATACCCCAGCAGCTGGATCACAGCGGCGCATACCGGCAGACATTGAAGATCACATGGGAGCCCAATAGATCGAATGTGCCAGGCTATCGACTCTCGATAAACTTTATTGTATCTTCAGAACCACATTGCGCAGAACAATTCCAGTAAACAGCAGTATGCCACAATGCTTTGTACTGGTCGCGCTGCTTGAGCACACGTCCAGAACACCTAGCTGCATCAGTACCCTGCAGAACAGACGATGACACATAAATGCTCGCAGTCGGCCGTGTGCTGCCCGTTTGCACGGCCGCGTGCCAATAGGCTGCAGCCATGATGCGTGCGGCTGTTTTCGCAATCGAGATCGGTGGTGTATCGAGGACGAAGGCGCGGCCACCCTCCGCCAGAACTAGTAGCATCAATTCCCAAACTTCGATGCCCCTTTTTCCTACCACGACGGGCGAGGTTTAGGTACAGTGCGGCAGTAGGTAGGCAGCTGATGGACCGAGAAAGACCGCATCGCAAATGTTGGGCGTGGGCAATACGAATGTACCCCATCGGCTCAGGTCAAGACGTCAACGACCTGGCGGCACGGCAGCACTCTCCAAGTCGCCACAAAGGAAGGCCACAGACAAATTGTGCAAATTTTGGAGCCGTGACAGCCCGCACTTGCTGTAATTACGGTCAATGTTCCATCCCCAGCCGAGGACAGGAAAGGGAGTTTGTGAATGTGGCCGGCTATGCGGTGGTGTGGAAGGCTATGAGCAATCGGCCATATCCGTGCGCCCTTGCGCACCGAAAGTGCGCAGACAGATAGGCTCCATGAAGGAGAAGCATGAATTGGCCCATGTGGTACAGTTGTCCTGTAGAGACTTTTCATTCCACACCGACTCTGTACGGCCAGAGTTCATTGTTGATGCCGCCAACGCGATCCTTCGTGCCAACGCGCCCGGAGCAGAGCGCGATGATCCGCCCACTGTAGGTGTTCATTGGGCCACACGGTTTATTCGGCGACATGGCTATTTCAAGCAGCGCCAGAAGACGTTAAATGCCGACCGAGCAGCTTCTGAGGACTTTGATCGTGTTGTGGAATATTTCCGGAAGCTGCAAGACATCATTGAGGAAGAAGGCATCCTCCCTGAGGATATCTGGAATATGGATGTGTCAGACAATTGGCTCCACAGGGATCACTGTTGGCATCGTGTTAATTGATGAGAATTATCTTTAGAGGCCTCAACTCCCATATTGCAAGCCTTCGTGCAGTTCTTATACACAAATGAGAGGTTTTGCTTGTTTAGGCAGTCGTAGCTGCCTCGCAGGCAGCTACAGCCACTGAAGGCAGGTGAGACATGAGGCTCGTCTGAATCCCCAGTCCCCTCTGTGCGACAGGATGAAACCGGCTTTCGAATTGGGGTTGGTAAAGACCAGCTCATCGTCACTAAGCGCAAAAGATCGCATTACTTCAGCATCCCGGAGAACAGGGAATCGGCTACGCTGGTCGAAGCTATCTCCGCTGGTGGACGCTATACCCCGGCCTTTATCATCCTCGCTGGTCAAAATCACATGGCACATTGGTACCATCAACAGGAGCTGGAACCCGAAACAGTTCTCCGTCCTACGCCCAGTGGTTATTCGAATGACGAGATCAGTCTAGAATGGATTCAGCACTTCGACAAGCACACAGAGAAATGCCGGAAGGGGTGGAAACGCCTGCTCATCTTGGACGGCCATGGATCGCACCTACTGTACCAATTGTCCGCTGGATTGGGGCCCAATCCAGGTTTTCTTGGTCCGTGCACGCGGCCTGTGCCGTGTGGATCCCCCTGTGCTGCAATCCAAGAACCCCCGGTCCGTCTACTAGGGGGACCTAATGAGTCGAGCCCCCCGTCTGGTTCCACCAAGACGGGGGGCACGCTGACAGGGAAAAGGCACGACGACTGGGAAACAAATATTTGGTACTTGCAAATAGATGGCCGGTCCACACAACATAAAGTACTGCCGCTTTCCTGCATATACACCGTAATTCCAAGTCAACCCGGATGCACCTAACCGACGACGCGGCGTGTCGCGGCATGCACCACACAGCCCCAATGCACTAAACGACGATATCTTCGCCTTCGCCTTCGCCATCGCCGCAATAACTAGCCCAATAACAGCCATTTCCTTGTGCAATGTCTTCCCCAGAACGTCATCAATGTGCTGTCGAGAAATGGATCAATCCCGAGACCAATTTGCCTAGATTTGGGCGCTGCACAGAGCAGAACATCGAAATCCGTACCGTCGCGGCCGCCGAGTTGTATTCCGAGGGTTATTATCGCACGATTACGAAGGCGGCGAAGGCATTACGTCTGCCATATAAACGCCTCTGGTCTCGAATTCAAGGGCATCATCCAGTCAGCGAGAATGGAGGCAATTCAACGCTGCTGGGACCCGAGGAAGAACAAGAGGTGTTGTGTTGGGCCCATCGCCGCATTACGCAAGGTCACCACATCCAACGGCGAGCGTTACAACAACACGCGAACGCTATTCTCAAGGCAAAGGGACGAGAACGAAGGGCATCCAGGATGTGGGCTCAACGCTTCATGAAGCGGCATTCGCAGTACTTTCATCGCCGGAAATCCGCAACGGGAGACGTGAAGCGTAAGGCGATGGAAGATCGTGCTCGTGTAGAGGCGTTCTTTGACGGCTGGTCCAGTTTTATCGCCATCCGTGGCATACAGCGCGATAATATCTGGAATTTCGATGAGACCGGCTTCATGGTGGGATATCTGCAAAACGGCACTTTCTTGTGGACTTTCAACGAGGTCGAACGCCCTGTTCTAACAGATTCGCATGAAACAGTCTCGGTCACGGCCGTGGAGGCGATCTCGGCAGCAGGGAAGTGTATCCCTTCGTTTCTGATACTCCCTGGCGTGCAGATCCCTGTGCGATGGGTCGAAAATGAGCTTGATGGCGATACTATCCTCACAACCAGTCCCAAAGGCTATATTAACGATATCATTGCGATCGAATGGATCAAGCACTTCGAGAAACACACCCGGCCAGCCGACCCGTCAGAAACACGAGTCCTGCTTATGGATAGTTGCACAAACCACCATACTGAGGAGCTTGTTCACTTCTGTCATGATCATGGCATCGAACTCTTCCCGTTGCCACCCCATCTTACGCATAAGCTGCAGCCTCTCGATGTGGGCGTCTTTCGCTCTTACAAGCACTGGCATCAGCAGGTTCTTTATCGCGAAATCGCCAACGGCGCCACTGACTTCAGCAAGACCGACTTCCTCTACCATCTTCAAGAGATCCGTACGCGCACGTTCAAGAAGCACACGATACTGTCAGCTTGGGAGAAATGTGGGCTGTTTCCATACAATCCGGCTGTAGTTCTTGACCAACTCCAAGATGCACTATCATCATTGACCAAAGCGGTAGATCAACGAAATCTTCCCGGTTTCGTCGACAATGACATCGAACAAGCGAAGGAGAACGAGCCCGCTACCCCGAAGCGAAGTCACACAACAGAAACGCCGCCTACGATCCGCCGGATTGACTGGAACAACGTCACAACGCCAAGCCTAAGCCTCCTTACCATAGAGCAATACAACGAATATGTCAAACTGCGAATACAAGTCTCCCTTGTCTCGGAAGTGCCGATTACACCCTCGGTTTCGCACGTGCACGAGAAGGCCCGGAAAGCAGCGCACACTCTAGCTCTCAACGGTGTGACGGCTACTGCCGAGATGAAGGCTCTCAAAGACAAGCAGGTCCGACGATCAACCCTGCTTGAGAAGACATCGGTTGTTGGGAAATACGGCCCATTGAGCGTTCACGACGCGAGACTCCGAGTCGCACAAGATGAGTATAACAGGCTAGCTGCACAGCACGACGAGGAGGCTCGCTTGTTGAAGAGGGAAGCCCGCGACGAGGCCGCCTACATACGTCGCTGGCTCCAGCGAGTCAGGGCCAAAGTCAGGGCGAGTATCACGAGCACGACGGCACGGAAGGCACAACAACAAGGTGGCTGGCTCAAAGGTGATCGTCGCGCTCTGCTCAACAGCGCTGAGTGGCTCTGTCAGCGATATACATTGCATCGCGAGCTCGTTGAGCTAGACCACTGTAAACGGAGCAACGCGATTGTGTGGCCCAGAGACTACAACGCCGAGACGATCAACCACGCTGTGAAGTTAGTGGTCGTGGAAGCCCAGGGGCGCGTCGCAGGTCGCAAGATGTGCTCCCTTGAGACTGACGGCGTTGAGATATTAGCAGTTGAACCTGTGGATGAGTTCACTGATGAACCTTTTGTATTTAAGAAGGAGGGGTCCGCTACTAGCGAAATTCTCAGCGAAATAGTGGTGCAAACCACGGGTTTTCGAGCTGATGATGCTCTAAGTGATGCCTTGAACGAGGCCGTTTGATGTATTTGGCGGGGAGTTTGTGCAGTTAGCCCGAAAAAAGAAGTACTTAGTCTACGTAGTAAAATGGCGGGGCCGCCAAGTACTGCGTTTTTCCCAGTCGTTGTGCCTCTTCCCTGTCAGCGT